CCCGCTGGCGGGGGCGTCACCGGGAGCTCCTCTCCGTCACGCCGATGTCCTCGCCGCTGCCGGAGGCGCCGTCTGTGCGGAGAGCAGGGTGGGGGGGCGTTAGAAGGGGACCCCGATGCTGCGCCCGGCGCCTTGGAGCTGCGACAGACCCGGTTTAGGGAACGCTGTCCCGCCCCGGGGAGCGTCACAGCCTCCGGCCAGCCGCGCGGTGTGCTAGAGGGAACCACCAGCTCCCCACCGCGGGGGCCGAATCCCACGTTACCGGTGTAACCAGGCACGTTCCCACCTGGCACCTCCGGGCTCACCCGAAAGGCTGACGCAGGACAGGGTCAGGGGGGTCTCGCCGGGACTTTTCCGGGGCTCCGACAAGAGGCTCTCGAGGGACGCACAGGAGATGTCCTCCTGCGCAGGGAAGAGCCGGGTTGACCGTCCCCGGAGGACACCGGGACGGCTTTGGGTCAGCAAGAAAACGTCCCCACGCCGGGGAAGACATGCTGTCCCCGGGCGCCAGGGGACGCGGTGCCGGCTCCCTCCGGGGAAGTCGGGCGGGAGAACAAGCCACCCCCTCCAGTCCCGCATCTGCTCACCGGCATCTCCGCCCTGACCTCCTTCGCCAGCCGCGGGGGGCTGTCCCCCACCGCCTCTTCCTCCTGGGGACAGGGGACGGCGTAGACCAGCCGCACCAGCTCCGCTCCGATGTCCAGGCTGTGCGCGGAAACCAGATGGGGCTGGAGAGCCGGTGGCTCAGGGGAGCAGGGAATGGCCGAGGAGGGGGCTCGGGGGGGCGTCTGAACGAGCACGGCTCACGGCGGGGGCCGGGCAGAGCGGCGGGGCTCACCTCTCCGTGGTGGAGGGCGTAGAGCCCGACGTTCGGCCTCGTGCCGAGTCCAGACTGGACGTAACTGGAAATTTTTGCCACCAGCGGTTTCCACGTGGCGCAGTGAGTGAGCCGGTCGAACTCGTCCAGGGCCGCCTCTTCCCACTCGTCCCCTGCGGGAGAGGATTAACGGGGCGAGCCCAGCCCG